CTTCTTCAGCTGCTGGAGATGCCGAGGCAGGGGCCTCTCTCTCTTGTGCCCGAGCAGGTGGATCAACAGTCATCTTGCCACTCCTGGTCATGATGGCATTGCAGTGCTCGTTCGGGTTTTGAGGATGAGGGATGGTCTGACCGGGTAGAGTACCAGGAGCCCTTTGGGCCACTGCTTGAGCCAGGTCTGGATATCCTGCAAGACAGCCTGTGTGTTCCTCTGGCCAGCTTCAAGAGCCAGGAATTTACCCGATGCCTTTTCCATGAACTGCTCGATAGTGTTAAATTTTTGAGCACTAGAACTGGCGAGAGAACCCACCAATTCCCGCAGTTCAGCCATCTGATCATTCTGCACTGGGGCGGCAGGGGCTGCACCTGGCTGCTGGAAAGGTCGCAGCTGTGATGGAGCAGCATGCCCCTGCATGGGCTGGTAGAGAGAATGCTGCTGCTGGAATTGCCCCTGTCTGGGCTGATATGGTGGCCTCTGGAAGCCCGGTGGTCCCTAGGGGACTGGTGGTCTGGAATTTGCCCCACCCCAGGAGAAGTTGGGATGCTGGCGCCACCCCTCATTGTAGGTGTTACTGTAGGGGTCATTGCGCCTGACATTGTTGATGAAGTTCACCTGCTCCTGGGGCGTGGTCGATTCCTTCATCGCCTGGTAGTCTTCCACTGTATGATGGGTGCTCTCGCACCACTGGCAGAGCATCGCCTGCTGCTGTCCGGTCCCTGGAATCATCCGGAACGATCGATAGCTGAAACCAGCTTCGACACCACCTGCACCAAATCAGAGTAATGGTTTCCCACAGAATGTACACCTCAGCTTGGTGCTCTCCTCGACCTCCTCGCAGTGCCCCAATCATACCCGTTCTCTGCCATCTCCTGAAAGAGTTGATTCAGCTGTGGCGGTGTTTTAGTCAGCATGTTCCCGCCACAAACTGAGTCAATCAGCTGCTTATCTTCTGGGAAGAGGGCATGATAGAAGGTTCCCACCTTGAAAGCATCGTTGAAACCATGATTGGGACACCTCAGGAAGAGACTATTGTATCTCTCCCAAGCATCCCGGATGGTCTCATCTTCATCCTGGGTGAAGTGGGTGATCTGCTTCTGCAAGTCCGCCGTCTTGGACGGAGGATGGTAGCGGGTGAGAAACTTGTCCGCCAGGTTGGCGAACGTGGTGATGGAGCCCGGAGGTTGAGTGTCTAGCCACTCCTTGGCCTGCCCCTCCAGGGTGAATGGGAAGTACCTCAGCTGGATGGCATCTGCTGGGAACCCATTGATCTTGATTCCATCAATGAGCTCATGGAATCGCCTGAGATGTGATCGGGGGCACTCCCCCTCCTTACCACGGAACACCACTGAACCGCGCAGCATGGTGATTACTGAGGTGCTCACCTCAAAATTGTTGGCTGGGACATGAGGATGTTGAATAGGTGACCTCATGTCCGCAGCTCTAGCGGTCCAGTAGGATCCCATGGTCTGCTCCTCAGGGATCACATCATGGTTCTCTGGATCAGCCATCTCTTCTTCCTCTTCTTCTAACTTCAGCTGTGATAGCGCCTCCTCCGCAACCAGTCACGCCTTTAGAGCCCGCTTGAAGTTTCTGCAGGTTCGTTCAAGCTCCTGGTCTAGTGGTAGTAGATCTCCCGACTGGCTACGGGTCATGCACTACCTGCACACAATCAGCAGAAGAAACCCGTGAAGGCACACAGGTGGAAGAGATAAAATGCAGTAAATAAAAAGCTAGAGTAACAAATTCTCACGTTTCCTCAATAACCTAGAGGGTTCCCCAGCAACGGCGCCAAAAACTTGACACGCCAAAACACAACACCAATCTGCGACCAAGTGTAATCGCAGACCGGGAATGCAGTAAAGTGACAAGTAATATTATCAACCCGGGGTCTAGATCTACTGTTTACTCCGTGATTCTATATTATCTAGCCAACTAAAGTAAGTGATTGTTGTTTAAAAGCAAAAGCAGAAAGAAAGCAGGAATTGATACGGTTTTCTCAAGCAGGTAAGAGTCACTCGGGAATGAGTCCCCCTAGCTCCTTAATTAGGTTTCAATTGTATTTCCATGGGTTGATTTACTGTTGATTAGACTGCGGAAGATCCGACAGTAGCTTGGAATCTCTTAAGCTGACCAAGCCCTCTCAGTCTAACTACCCGGCAGACGACTAGTCTTCACCGGGATAGAAAGCTGAAGTAGTAAGAACAGAACTCCACTACTGGAATTGGATTCCAGTACAAAGCAGTAAACTGGCTAACTCTCGTATAGCCAATCTCCTACTATCGAATGATGAGACTCTAACAACCTAATCAGATTCTATCTATCTCAGATTGCAGCAGGAATCAGGAAAAGTTGATCAGACTTCAATTGACTCAATAAACATGCATCATTCGATTAAAATCAAACAGTAATATCATCCCAAGTCATTACAATCAATCCCTAACACATAGAACTAGGGTTCTTCATCCCCAAGTGAGAGAGGGGTTCTACTCCATAGAGAGAGAGAGGAAAACAAGATACAAAGCAGTCATACTCATAATTATGGGAAGAATCTGCTCTGGGATGATGATTTCCACTCCTATGACGATCTCCAAGTTTGATTTGATGAAACCCAGCTCCAAGATGGCTTCTAGGATTTGTTCTTCGTCCTTTCTCTCTCTAGGGCTCTGTTTTTGCTCAAAAAGTCCGATTCCCCCTCTTGCAGCCCGGAATTGGGTTAAAATCAGGAATTCCCGACTCACACGGGCAGGGCCACACGGTCGTGTGGGATTTCCATCTGCCCGTGTTTGCTCTCGGCGAAACTCGCACGGCCAAACCACTCCTTCACACGGCCGTGTGAACATCAGGGCAAGCCGTGTTTGCTCTCGCACAATCTCACACGGCCAAAGTGGTCACTTGCACGGCCGTGTGAGTTGTGGGTGTGCCCGTGTGGCCTCCTTTGTGACTTGCCTCGCGCCCGATCTTCGTCCAATCGACCCCAAACTCGCTCCCAAGCCTCCATGCACGTACTAGGACCTGAAATATCACAAACAAGCACAACCTAGCGTAAAATCGGCCTAAAACACGAGAAACCACATCTCAAACGGTGTAAGAACAGGGGTGAAAACATGTGCAATTAACGGTCTATCATCCAACATACGGGACCAAATTATTCCTTCTCCTTTGTCAAATTACAAATGGAAGGTATTACATTGCCAAGCTAGTAGTAAATGAAGCGGTCATATTCCGTTGCTTAATCAAAACATAATATTAGTGATATTATCTTTCTAAGGCTTTAGAGCAAATGTTGGTGAAACAATGTTGTTAATTAGTTGTACTTTCATTATTAACCATTCCACAGCTGCAAATTGACCAAAAGAACAAAAATTTGCATCAAACAAAGCTGTTCATACCGACTAATACATAATAAACTTAGAACATATTTATTTCCCTTTTTAGTAGATAATGAATTATGATTCTACAGATTTTCGGAATTTGAAAACTATCTAATTAAAGTTCTTATTGTGATGCATAAATGGAAAAAGAACCTGATTAATCACTTGAGACTTAGTTGTCCTAGGAATAAAATACCTTATATATGTATAGAAGTGTTCAAAAAAACGTGATTAATCTCTCGCCTAGGAGCGATTAATAGCTGGGAATGAGGAAATCGCCTCGTCTAGCCCTGTGCGATTGATCTAGGCACCTAGGCACTCGGAGGCGTGTTTTCACTCTGGTGGGCGACACCCATAACAACTAATAAAGGGGAAAGTGTAGCCATTTTGTGAAAATCCCAAACCCTATTCTATTTCTCATTCCATTCGACCAGCCGCTCCCCCTCATAGACCAGCAGTGAGATCCCTCCTCATGGTTGGCGACTTGGGATGTTTAGGATTGTGGAAAAGGGTTGTATGTGAATATGAATGGATCAATATTGATATGGCGACTTGGGTTTTGTGGAATATGACTTATCTATCATTTTGTTCAACGTTTAATCTCGTCTAGGCAACGATTAATGGGCCTGGGCGGTGTCTCCTTGCCTAGATAGCGCCTAGCGTCTTCTTGAACATTGATGTATAGTAAGGCGGATGATTAATAACACCAGACCTACTCCTTGGTTCCTATTAGTTTGATGGAAAGTCTACGAACTATATACAATCAAATCAAATTCAATCCATTAGTTGGTTATATATGTTGGACCTTAGTACGTTAAGTAAAGGAATAGAAACATCAATATCACCAAACTTATTTTAAAGGAATATAAAGAGTTTAAGGTATTAAGGCTTTGAGCATGTCATACGAAAACATCAATATCATAGTTGAAAACCAAGGTATATTCTCTGGAGTTGCTTTTAAACAAAGATCACTACCTCTAAATTTATAGGTCTCACAACCTATCACACTTTCTTTAGGAGGAGGTAAAGAAACCAATACACTCTTCCAGTCTTGCTTATAATAAGGGATCAGAAAGAATCCGTATATAAAAACCAAGGGAGCGGATATAATAACAACACTATAAGTGTTGTTATATAAAATCAGGGGTAAAAAAGGAAAACCAACAAAAATAATAAATTTTCAATACCCAACTTCCTTCTTTACGTCTCTCGATTAGGGCTGGCAGAACGGTTTTCGGTTAGCAGTTAACCAGTCGGTTTCGAACAAACTGACCGGTTTTTGGCTAACCGAAAATCGTCGCCAAGTGTCGGCGGTCGGTTGTCGGAATAGAGGGGAAGATGCTCGGCTAGCCGATTAACCGTGGCCGGAAGGCTGCGGTTAACCGGCTAACTGAACTCTTCCCCTTTAGTACAAAACGATCCTGCATCCCCGCCAAACTGACCCCTCCCAAAACGACCCCTCCCCCACCCAAAACGACCACGCTCCAACCCCACCCAAAAGCCAAAACTACGCCTAGCCTATGAGATGGAAACCTTAATCCCAAAACGACCCCTTTCTCGCGCAGCCACGGCCACCCTCGCCGTCACTGCCCGTCTCGCGCAGCCACGGCCTTCACCAGTTCACCGGCCACCCTCGCCGCCGCTCCAACCCCACCAAAAGCCAAAACGACCCCTAATCCCAATCCCCACCCCCCCCCCCCCCCCCCCCAGCCACCCCACCCTTTTCTCGCGCAGCCACGGCCACCCTCGCCGTCGCTGCCCGTCTCGCGCAGCCAGGGCCTTCACCAGTTCATCGGCCATCCTCGCTGCCCCTCCACCAGCCACCCCGCCGTCTCCCTCCGCCTCCAACCGCCTTGCTGAACGCCGCCTCCCACCGCCTCCAATCGCCCCCCTGCTTCTCCGTTCTCTCCAATCGGCGGCTCGCCGACCCCTCCCCGACGACCCCATCGCCATCCCCGCCTTCCACCATAGAGCGCGAGCCAGCAGACAAAGTAGAGAGCAAGGTGGTCGCTTACCCAGTTTCGTCGTCGTTCCCCTCCTCCACCCAGCCACTCCCCTACTCCGACGGTGATTGTTGGAGGGAAGAGGCCAGATCTCTTCGATCTGGTCTGGAGATGCAGCCATGCAGCCAGATCTCTAGATCGATTCTGAATCTAGGGATTAGTGGGTGTTGTGGGTGGATTGTAGCGAGTTGGGGGATAATAGATTGGAGGAGATAAGAGCTTCCGCTGCCGCTGCCGTCGTCCTTCCTCCTTCTCCTCCTTCTTGGTAGCGGCGGCCGGATTGGTGGGTGCGGTGGGAGGGATGAGGAGATGATATGAGAAGAGATGGGCACTAGGTTTTGAGTTTTTCCCCCTTTATTTCGGCAGTAGGTTAACCGAGGGTTTAATCGAAAACCGGTAGGTCGGACGACGGCTAACCGTGGCATGATGGGCGGTAGGTGGTTGTCAGCGTCGTCTCAATTTAACCGATAACCGAGAAATTGGTTTTCGGTGAAACCAAAACCGACCGACTGACAGCCCTACTCTCGATCTCATTCTTCTCCCTTATCGCCGACTCCGTCTCTCGATCTCCTTCTCCTCCCTTATCGCCGATGTATTCTCTCTCATACTCTCTCCTCTGCACCGGCGAAATCATTGCTACCCTCTCCGATTGGTCCCATTGGCCTCCGCCGCGCGGCCTTTCTCAAAAAATCGCCCTCTGATTAACTTTTTAATACAGTTCCTAGCGATGGATCTGACCTCGACCTGGCAGATCCCCTTCCACCGGGAGTGAACGGAGCCGAGATTCGTGCCGAAGAAGCTTCGATGGTCGGGGCAGACGCTGGTGTTGAAAACGCCGATGATGACATCAAAATCGTAGTCGGACTCGGACCAGAGCCTGTACTGGTTTCCTTCTTCCCGGTCGCCACTCGCAGGCGACGCTCTGCTTCTTCTGGGTTGCCACTCGCAGGCGGCGCTCTCCTTCTTCTTCCCGGTCTCCACTCGCAGGCAACGCTCTGATTCTTTCCGGTCGCCACTCGCAGGCGGCGTTTTTCTTCTTCCTGATCGCCACTCGCAAGCAGCACGCATAGATCGTCAAAGGTGACAGAGAGATGTGTCGAGTCCACAGATTACGTTTCGTGCTCGGGATTAGGAACTGATGGTGTGGCTGCCCACCATGATAGGAAGGAAGGTCGATGAAGTTGCGTCTTGCTTCTTCGTGATCCCTCTGGCGGTGATGGAGATGAAGTTAGTGCCGGCGATTTAAGTGAGGTAGATGTTGGTGTCCCCTGCTTCATTACCATCTTTTCTTTCATGCTTTAATTTTTCATATTTGGGATGAAGATCACTCGCAGCTTTACACTGTAAGAGCACCTAGAGAAGTGGGGGGATTATTAGTAACGTGGGGGGATTAACTTGGGGGCATAGGATTAAGAAACCATTTATGTATTTTTAGTGTTTTTGCGTACAAATTATTGTGTCTATGCTATGTATTTGGGATTTGTTGGTATCGTAGAACACAAGTATCTCATAATCACATCAGAAACCATCTAATGCAGTTCACAAATACGGTAAACCAAATCACAAAAAGCATACCAGAAACCTCCTAATGCATACCACAAATCTTATTAAACAAACCACAAACCTCACAAAGCAAACCACAAGTATCTCATAAGCACACCAGAATCCTCCTAATACAGAGCACAAAAACGATAAAGCAAACAAAAAAAAAAGCATACCAGAAACCTCCCAATCTATACTATAAATCTCTTAAAACAAACCAAAAACCTCACAAAGCAAACCGCAAATATTTCGAAAAGCACACCAGAAACGTTCTAATGCAGGCCACAAATATATTAAAATAAACTAGAAACCACACAAAGCAAACCACAAAATTTTCGAAAGCACACCAGAAACTTCTTAATCCAAACCATAAACACGATAAAGCAAACCACAAAAAGCATACCAAAAACACGAGAAACCAAACCATAAATCTCACAATGCAGACCATAACATCCGGTGGTCGTTGACCAGCCAACAAAGTTCGTTGACCAAACTCCGATGACCGTCAGTGAGCAGATTCCGACGCCGATAGGCATATTCCGCCCCAATGACTAGATTCTGACGCCTGTAAGCATATTCCGACCACGGTGAGCATATTCTGACGACAAAATAGCATATTCCGGCGACAAAAGACATATTCTGGTGACCGACGACCATATTTTGGGCAGAAAAAAATATTTTTTTATTTTTTTATTTTTTATTATTTAAACATATTTTCATAATGACAATTATACTTCTGCTTTGATTTTACACTAGGTCAACTCAGCTAATAAAAAGTCATCACAACCCTAACTTCTTATTGGTTGGAGACTAGTGTTGTTACAATAACAACACAAGAGATGTTGTCACACTATCTGGTCCAAAAAACCAAACAGAAGCATAGAGAGGAGCCACCTATATTGTTTGCAAGAAGTTCAAGTTAATAATTGGATTATGGATGGAAATTAAAAGTAAAGAAAACAATGACTCAATTGCATGAGACATAAGCATAGAGGAGGAACCACATATATTTAACTTCGTTAGCTTCAATTGAATGGGGTCCATAGGATCACATTCCCTGCTCTATACCATAAGAAAGGGCAGCTTGAATCGGAGAACGGAAAAAAGAAGAGTTTATGGGATTGAGATGAGGTAGCGGGCGGCAACAATGCCATTAGGAGAATGGAGCTCTTGGTTAGCGGAGAAGGGAGTACGCTGGTGAAAGCTAGACGAAGAGAGAAGAGCGCTTACCTAGCCGCTTGCCTATCGCCTATTCGAGAAGGATATACAACTTGGACAGCCGCCATGTTATCGCTTGCCTATCGCCTAATTAAGTATACTTACGCTTTATATATCATAAAATTACTGAAAGTCATTACGTTGAGCTTGACATGTCATCATAAAGATGGCATTCTACTACATACATGGCATTCTTACTAATGACTACCTTATCATAAAAAACAACCTTAAACTCTTTCTTGACAATAAGTAAGGTCTAGACCTAGTTTTTGTGGATTTCGGGCTTATGGATCACATTATTCAAAGTTACAAATTTCCCCGAGGTTATCTACAAGCCAATCTAGCCACATCAATTGACTCCGTCCATTATAGAATTACCCACAAATAACTTCTTTTTTAATCCAGCCAAAATGTAAGAAGAACAATATATAGACTCCAACGTAAAATCCTGATCGACTTAAACCTAACAAAGAACTAAATTATCTTTAAGTTCAAACATGAGTATCCATTAGTCCACCCTTCTTGAAACCAACCTGGATCTCAAGGTTGAACAGATCTTTATTCGTAGATTCTACATATAGTCTAGCTCCCATAGGAAGTTGCCTTCCCAATCCTTCATAACCCATCCAAAGTGGCTTCTGAAGTTTTGGTTCTCCTTGAACTCCCCCCATCCGAAAAGATCATCACCAAGCACAATCCATAATCTCCTTTATATTTTCTTCTACCACTTACTCCACGATTGGATACGGCAACTTCGAATTCCAAGCTTGAGGATTGAGCAATAGATATTCAAGCTTTCCTCCAATCACTCTCCAATTCTTCCAAAATTTCCAGGTATAAATCTGACTGTCCCCATGATGGATGTATGAATTGTATGGGGTTTGAATTCAGGATTGAAAAGAAGATACTTCGAATTTGGGAAGAACGATAAAGATTAGGGATTGGAGAAAGATTGGAATAATCTGATGATATGTCATTTAATTGGTCATTATAATCCTAAAATGAAATAGGTCAACGCTAATATATAGACTCTAACATAAAGCCCTAATTGATTTAAACCTAATAAAATACCAAACTACCCTTAAGCTCAAACACGGATATCCATCAATTTTCTTTTTTCTTCGGATATGATTGATCATCTTTCTAACAAATCGCAACAAACCACTCTTGAACATAAACTTTTAATTCAACTTGTCTTTATTTCTACTAATTGGATGGATTCCACTATGAGTTTTTGTAACTGTATTGGAATGGCAACAATTGCTTGGTATAGGATTTACTAGCACAGTAAGTTGAATACCTGAATTACTTTCTTTTCAGCATAGACTAATAGTTGTTCTGTTTGTTTTTAGGTTGGATTGTAATGGTATCACGAGAATAGAGTTTGTTAAATGGTTTCGAGTTATTCTATTTGTATGCACATAGTGTTTGCTTAGTCTTTGAAATATAAACTTCCTAATTTCCCCTTCTTCTTTGCACATGTTTCACTGCTCTTCTACATGTATCCATTTCAATATGTTATGTTCCGTTATGGTATATCAATATTTTAGGTCAACCAGTTCTTGTCGGGATTTTTCTAGAAATACCACTAAACTAGAAAAATAATTCCAAAAATAACACCAATTTCCAAAATATTCCAAAAATACCACATTTCCCCAAAAACCGCGACGGCGCAACCCTACCTTGCGGTTTGCACGAAAACCGCTGGGTGGGTGCGCGGTTTTCACTAAAAACCGTATGGGTAGGGGGCGTTTTTATTGACCGCATGGGGTCGGGGTGGTTTGGTTGCAGACCGTTGCCCCCTGCGGTTTGTATTAAATATAGTTTTTTCGATCAATGCTAACCTAGGTGGACAATTCAAACGAACGTATCTTTGTGCTCGAGTATCCGATCGTAGCGATTTTTTTTATTCCGCCTAACTTTTTGAGATCTTGCAAAGATACGTTCGTTTAAAGTTTCCACCTAGTTAAGGATTGATCAGAAAAAAAATACTTAATACAAACCGCAAGGGGGCAGCGGTCTGCAACCAAACCGCCCCGACCCCATGAGGTCAATAAAAATGCCCATACCCATGCGGTTTTCAGCAAAAACCATGCCCCCGCCCATCGATTTTCAAGAAAAGATGGTATTTTTGGAATTTTTCGTAAATGGTTGGTATTTTTAGAATTTTTGGAATTGTTAATGGTATTTCTGGAAAAAATCCGTTCTTGTCTTCTCTCCAGGAAGAAACGGTACAACTGTAGAAGAAAGTTCGACCGCTGATTTTTTAGAAAGAGCTCGTCGAAGTCTAGGACATCGCAGAAACAAAGATGGAGACTGAAGGAGTTGTTCCGGTGAACACTAATACTTGGGAAAGGAGAG